GGGCTGTGAGATGAGCGAGGCTTTATGTGAAGAGAGGCAGCGCTGGCTGGGGCCAAAAGGGAATGCTGTCATGTCCTTGTCTGGAGAGGCTTAGCGTTGGGTCTTAGGAGCGAGTCAAACGCCAATTTTTATCACTGCTTAATCCCCGCAGCAAATTGCTTTTGTTAATAAGCAAGAAGAGCCTTTGTAATGTTTCTGTCCTCACTACTTGAATCAGATAACTTTAATCTTCACGCATTACTAGAAGTTGAAATGATTTATAGTTATTTCCCTTTGAGACCAATTTTATTTTCCTTTGGAATTACTTCATAACTGTGAGCGTTGTTTTGGTAAATTAATCCTAATTTATTTTCTTTCGAAAGTAATCAGGAAAAAATGGGCTAGAGGAATGATTTTGTGCTCAGTGTACTACGAGGCAAGCTAGGTTTGATTTCCTGCCCATTGCAGCTTTTTTCTCTTCCTTACCTTTTCCTTCTCAGAGTCCAAAGAAGCAGTTATAATTTCCTGAGTTGAGCCTGCCCCGAGGAGGTGCTGCTGGAGTCACACAGCCTTGTGAGCTGTAGCGGCTGCTTGGAAAGTCAGGTTACACTTGACACCTTCTCTGACAAGAGAAAATTAGCCTGTTCTGGTTGGAAAGATCCAGAAGACTTGATGGGAGCTAGGAATGAGGCATGCCAAAATCTCTAACCTTGGAACCCTCTGGCTCGAGGAAGCAGGGCTGGGGGCAAGGATCTGCAGTGGGATGTAGCTGAGACAGAAATCTGACCACATGCCTGCGTGACCCGGGCTAAAATTAACCCCGCCAGCCTCGCACGCCTCCCCATGCTTCATCATTTGGCTGTTGACCGCTCGAGAAGGAAGAGCGAGCTGGGCTCCAGCAGCACACGTTTGTGTTAAATATGCCAATAAGCAGTACGAACTTGCAGGTCCCTGCTCGTGGGAGAAGCAAATTTTCCTGTGACCATTACAAAACAGTAAGCAAATCCTGGCTCCTTAAGCACAGCAGCCGCTCTGCAGCTCTCTGACTTCAGCCTCAGATGTGATTTTTCTCAGCTTCTTAGGACTTGCAGTGGTTTTTCTTCGGAGCACAAATCTGCCACCTCTTCAGATAAGCCCTTTTCTGTTGCTATTTGTGTGTGGCAGTAGAGGTAGCCGGGGTGATTTCATGTATGAGAACTGTGATAGGGGGGAATAGTTTGGTGTGCGCCTTAGGTGACATCTTAGCAAAAAACAATTCATGGCTAAAACAGTAGGGCTTTGGTTTCTCTTCTCTGAACTCAGTCACTTTCTGTTGGCCTGAGGTCAAGTCGGTATTCCCATTGCAGCCAAGCAGGACTCGGGTTGGGCAATCAGCTCCGTCACCAACCTGCTTCATCTTTGAATGTGCCCTCCTGGACTCACTTTGGCAGTTCTCACAGATGTGAATGCAATCAGTTTTGGGGATTCGTGATTTAAAGCATGGTGCAAGATGGGGAAGGAGCTCTCTGGGTGGGGATGCAGCCCACAGGGGCTGTGGATGGGATGGGGTGTGGGTAACAGGAGCACTGAGAGCAGATTTTCCCCTTTTTTTAATTCTAGGCAGCACTCATCTACATGAGTATAGCTCTGCCCAGCTGGGAATGAGGCTTTAAAGAAAGGGAAAGCAGTTCTGGGGGTGTTTGCTTAAATTACCCATTTCTCTATTTAACTTCATGGGGTAGTTAATGTATATAATGTCCTGTAAAGTGTAATTGGCAGTGGAAAACCTCCCACAGGCTGGCTAATAGTTCAAAGCTGTTCCAACAAACACGTGTGAGTAGAATCGATCATTTAGTTTCACTTGAAAAAATACTAGCTACTCCTGTCTCCCCAGTAAGAGCTGAATTTGTTACAGCTTTGTTCCCATTAGCTGATGGTAACTAGAAAGTTGCAGCACTTCCATTAAGCGTTGGTATTTTAATGGCATTGTGTCAGATAGTAATTACTGGCTAACTGTTGTGTTAAATACTGTCTTGGAGCACAACAAGGCGCAGAGTGAGGCTGCAAGTCGTGTTAGGAGCCCAAAGCTGGGATTCTGTGGCACTGCAGATGGATTTTTGATGATTTTTACTGTTTTTTTTCCCCACGTACAGCATTGCCGTTAGGATCATCTTGGTATGCTATTGGTGTCTATTTTTAGGGCATGTTTTCACCCTGTGAACTTCAGTTTGCAACAGCAGAGGCACTGTCCTGTTGGATGTCATTGCTGGGATAGCTGTGCCACTCAGTAACGAAAAACGTTGGGTCTAATTAATGGTGGTACGTGCTGTCAAAAAGATATGTTCAGTTGTATCCAAACTCTTGTACGAGAGTCTGATTTGTAATAATTATCAGGGGAAGAAACCATCCAGAAAGCACTCTGTGTCGGTTTAGTTAGGAACTGGCATGGTGGGAGACCCTGGGGTGAACGGCACTGCCCAGCGCCTGGGCGCACTGGGTGTTGGGTCCCCATCACTGGGACAGTGGCTGCAGGAAGGAACTCTGTGATTTGCGGTCCCAACATCAGACTGTTGCCTCCCGCTCTGGTTTACGAGCTTTTAGGTTGGTCCCTCCAGGGACAAAGACCGCGTGCAGTTCTTGTAGGTAGTCAGGATTTGTGCTTTGTGCTGTTCTGAGCTCCCCAGGCTCGTGCTGGTAACTGGGAGCCCTCTGTTGGGCTTTGTTGCCGCGCACAGATCCACATGCAGAAGTTCTGCAAAAGGAGCAGTGTAAATCCTTCTCCTGTTGAGAATCTCAGGTGGGACCACTAAAAGCTGTAGGTTTGGGGTTTGTCTTTTCATGAAACTTCACTTTCTACAGTAGTGTTGTAGCCGTGACTCAGAATGTGCTGTGTAATTCCAAAGTCAATATTTACCTGTAATGCCCTTAATTCAAACCTGCTGGGATCCGTGTTTTACCTGTAAGGCTCTCAATTCAAACCTCACAGATTTTAATAATAATAATAATAATAATAATAATCACATTTGGTTCTAATTTGTTTCCAAATAATTGAATTTCTAAGATTATAGTGTGCCAAGGAAAAAATGCTACCAGATAGCTGAGTCTACTCCTAACAAAAGCCAGAAGGCAGACCCCAGTTAACCATTAAGCAAAAATGGGCTTGGACACAGAGACCTGCATGGGTCATAATGCCCAAACCATGTCGCTGGCTTGGATTTGGTTAACTACAATAACGAAGTGACCTCTGATTTATTTTTCAGATTGCTTGTTTGGGTATTTTTTTAATTAGAAGGCTGTGTTAGGGGCATGTGACTTCATGCCCTGTATTCTGGAAATACTGGGGAGCACTCAAAGTCCATGCGTGGAGATAGGAGTAGGTGAATGGAAAGTTTCTCAGCAGTGTTTTCCCAGTTTTTATTATTGCTTTCCCAATTATTTGCCCGGTTTTGAACATTCAAAAACATGATGTCCTTTGAAACGTTTCGCATGTCTAGAAATAGCAACCATTGTATGTTTATTATTTTTTACTTGCCTGCATGGAAGAGGAAAAAGAAACGCGAGGAATCACATTTATGTAGTACGTTACAAAAGCTTAACAACAAACAGGTTTTGAAAACATCCTGGCAAGTTTCCATAATTAGCTTAATATCTGCCGTAAGAATGAGCAGTGGCCATGAAGAGCTGCAGCAAAAGGCATTGGTAGCACTGCATCCACGTGAGTGCTTCAGCGCCTGGAAAGGGGCAGCCCAGGGAGCTGGGGTAAAAGCGCGCGTTTTGTTTTTCTCAATCTTTTTCCTGTTATAGAAAATGTTTTCTTGGAGGAGGAGGTAGGGAACACAATGGCTGGGTTGAATGCAGCGTTTGTTTCCCTGTGGTTCTTTCAGTCAGCTGGAGAAGTCCCTCCGGTGTGCTTGGAATGTGTTTCATTCACATGGTTCCACTGCGGTATCCCAGGGAGGGTTGCTTTTCAGGTCCACGCACTGATGGCACAGGGAATGCGTGCCCAGCAGACCTAACGGTGGGACTAGAGAATAAACAGTGGAAAATAGAATCGTAAAGGTTGGGGAAGACCTTTAGAGCCCCAAGTCCAACCCTAACCCACCCCACCATGCCCACTGACCACGTCCTTCAGTGCCACATCTCCGCAGCTCTGGAACTGTAATGTCTTTGTATTTAAAGTACAGTCCTGATAGTTAGTGGGTTTCTTTTGTTCTTTGGAATATAATTTGTATTAACAAATCTTCTCTTCAGTTGCGTCCTGCGCTTAGCAACAGTATTTAGTACGTAAGAGGAATTCCTGCTTGAGCATTTTTCCTCCTCCTCCTTTTAGATAACCTGCCCTGGAAAGGTTTTATGAGCTTCCTGGTGACCCCGGCCAGGCTGCAATAGTGTGTGGTGAGCGGCTCTTAATGAGAATTAAAGAGGTTTTGACTTGACTGCTTTGTTTGCGTAGTTTTCAGATAATACATCTTAAAACAAAGCCCAGCAGCTGGAAGTTTGCACGACAGATTACAAACAGTTTAGTAGGCCAGTTTGACCTGAGAGATGGAGCTGATACTGATGGGTTTGAAGGCTTTTAAGGCTCGTGGGGTAATGCAGCAGAGGAGTTACCTTAAAATGGAAATGCTTTGTGCCTGAGGAATACCAGAAGTGGCTGGTGGAGAAAGATCTTTAAAACCTCTCGATAACAGATACGAAGAAGGAGCATCAGAGCTGTTGTTCCAGCTCAACATTACTGTGTGGAGCAGCTCACTGTGTGATGGTCCACACAGGCTGTGACACGTTTAAAAGTTTCTGTAGCCTTCTGTGAGCTTTGATGTCAGACTGCTGAATAGGAAAAGCCCTGCTGTAGTAAGCTGAATACTTGATTTGCACAATGCCTTGAATTTTAATGGTGTTGACTTGTTTCAAACCGCCAAAAAGCAGTTCTTTCAGATCAGCCTCTCAGACCTTGACGGACACAAAGAACTGCGTTGTTGTTTTTTTAAAGGTTGATTTTATTACCAACCAGTTCTTCTGTTTGTTTGTTTCCCTCATAATAGATTTACACGGATTGGGCTAATCACTATCTGGCAAAATCTGGCCATAAGAGATTGATAAAGGATCTGCAGCAAGATGTGACCGATGGAGTCTTATTAGCTGAAATAATCCAGGTTGTAGGTGAGTGACTTTCTCTTTTTGTACCAGCTAACTCAGAAATACGCTGCCTTATCTTCTGTGTAAACACAGCCTAGGCTAGGGGGAAGATCATTGAACTGCATGGAATTATGTGGATAATTTTTCTCCAGAGACTTTGCTAATTAATTTGATACTGTCTTGTCTTAAAGGATAGTGGAGAAGTATTTGATGTCGCTGATAAAATCTTCTGACACAGCAATATCAGTATGTGCAGCTGAATGTTAAAAAAGCAGCTGATGAGTTTTGTTTTTTTTTCTGCCAGGATGTTAACCTTCACTACCCGTGTTTCTGATCCTTCTATAGTGTTAGTCTGAACATAATCCAGAGATACTGTTGCCAGACAAACCCCAGCCCAAATGAAGCTTAAAGACCAAGGTGGTATTCGGAAGCAGGCACCTGTAATATGGTGCTAGATGCACACTGGGATCCTTCCACCTAATCGTGGACCTCAGCAGAACGAAGACATGTTCCTGATAGACGTGTGGGTGCACTATGTGTGGGTGCTCAGAGAGAGGGCTGCAGTGGTCATGAGATCCCCACCCCATCTCTCCCATTCACATAACCGTGGGGCTAATCTCCTTTGTAGCAGGCTGGGTGGATATAATGTTCAAGATGCTCCTAAAAATACAAAATTAGCCATGCTGATATCAATAGTTGCCTGCTGTGTTGAACCTTCTACTTCCAGCTGAGTTTGGATAATCCATATATGCAGCTAGGAAATGGGAAGGAGTATGATTTTTATGTGGAAGAAGAACAAAATACAATGATTTTTCTGATGAGGAAGGTCATTTCTCATTAGGATGTATCTCAGATAGGAGCTCAGTTCTGCAAAGCCTATACTTCCCTTGGTTTGCGCTAATATTAGTAGATAATGAAGGTCTGAAACAATTTTCTACGTTGGCCCCATGTAAAGCTACATATTCTTCTTCCCTTGGGCCTGCATCCTTCATTAGCTCCTTCAGAGAGTCATCCATCTGGTATTTGAGATGCCACAAAACACATGCATGGGCCAATGGAGATTGATGGAATCAGAAAGGCTGCTAATGGGAATTAGGACGACCATTGTTAAAGACAAACTGACAGATTTGAGATGCAAATGAAGAAGACAGCAGTGAAGTAACAAGACATCAGTGCATGCATATTTATGTGTGTTTGAGAAGCTGTAAACGAGCTAGTTCCCTGATTTAAGGTACAAATCTGTAAACACTGTTCTGGGATGAAATAGTGCGGCATTGTTCCAATTCCTCCACTAGAGCTGTACTGCACTACAACAACAACAAGATTTCATTTCTGTATGATGCAGAGCAGCAGTAGGTCTGTGTAGCATTCCCCAGACCTGCCAGGCGTCTGCGGATGTACAAAACCAGGCCAACCATTGACTGCGTGGTGAAAGGCATTCACTCAGAACAATGCTCTTCTCTGTATCTATTTCCTTATGTCTGCATAACAGGGAAAATTGTTGGGAAGCCAGAGGCAGTTAGGTGTTCATTCCCTTCATCCATACCTAGCCACGCTGTGTTAACACTGATAAATATCAGAGTTTGCCTGAAAGGTGTACGTGGGAATGCCACCATCAAAATGTGAGCCTGCTTGCGACAAATATTGCTGAATGCGGCTGTTTTGGTTGTGGAACTCTTGTGACATGCAGATTGCTCCCTCTAAAATTATCAGTAAACTTGATTCACCTTTACATTTTTTAACCATTCAGAGCACTGCCTTGTGACTCGTGTTTAGGATTAAACATGACACAGTACCAGACTCAGGTTTTCATTTTTGGGGAATGCTTTGCATGTGAAAGAAAGTTCATATTTAAAGGAACTCAGCTGAATGCTTCAAATGAGTAGTGAAGAAAATGTCATTTATATCTGATGTGTATGGCCATAGGCACTGCATCTCATTCTCACAGATGGTGACAGTTTTCACACATGCAAGCAGTTTTAACTGTAACTTGCAAAATGCAGTGTTTTTTTCTAGCAAACAAGACTACATACTAAGAAAGCTTTAATACACAATGTAGGAGATAGTTTTCATTTCTGTGCTGTGCCCCTTTCTGTGTAAAACCATCCATGAAGATACTCACTCCTTTTTGCCATCTGAGTGGAGTGTGTGGAGGTTATCCAAAGTCATCAGAGTTGATTTGGGTTCAGATACTAATGAGATATTTTTTTCTTGTGCTCTCAGCTGAGATTTACACTGCAGATATTGAACCTTGAAATGTCAGTTCCAAAACTCAGAGTAGTAAGGATGTGCTAAAACTAACCCAGACTGGTAGGATTTTTCCTGCTGATGCCTATGATGTTGTAATCGTGGGATATTTTAACTGATCAGACATAATCCAAGTCAGATCAGATAGAAAAGCTGTGCCTTTACAAAGAGGAATGCAGGCATGGAGTTATTGTTAAATCAGTAAAAGTAGTTGCAGTGAGAAGTAAAATGTGTACCTCTATGTTGTGCTGATTGTTTGGTACACACTAGTGACAATTTTATCATAGTTCATGGCAGACATTACAGAGAGGTTCCTTTACTAATATCTGAGTAACCAATCAGGTCAAAATTTGTATGCAAATGTAGGAATTAGACTGCAGAACGTTCATTCATGCATTCAAGAAAAAGTAATGCCATGTCCAAGCCTATGCCTGAAATGCTGAATAATGCTGATTAGTTGCTAACAAAACACTTACTGCATTGTTGTGAAGAGCACAGACTACTTTTGTATGGATGGTTTAACCCAGTTTTGTTCTCTGTAATGCTTAATGAAACTCTTTTGATTTCTTCTCACCTTATTTTTTCGTGCACTTGGAGTGTCACTTTCTGAAGACTTTTTCTTTCACCAGCAAAGCATCTCTGTATATATATATAAATGGGAACCTGGCAGCTGACTGGCCGTTAAATTTAAATAATTCTTTGCTACGTTTAATGGCACAGATTCTTTTTCACTTTTTTTTTTTTTTTTCATAGACTGCTGGCTTATAGTTTCATAATATGCCTGTTTTCAAAAATGCATAAAACCAATTATTTTTCATGCTTTGATTCAGACCTGTTAGTGAAAGCCCAGTGTCACTCATTACTGTGTTTATTATAGATTACAGCTGGTTTCTTCTGGCTTAGCACAAACCCTCAATCTGTGTATAAATGAGAAAAGTATGAAAATGCAAGCAGCTGAACCCGTTTCACTGTATTGACATAATTGGATTGCTCTGGTTTTGTGAAAGCTGTGTGCCAAGGAAGAGTTACGAAGCCCCCAGTCTGGTACTGGGAACAAGGTGTACTCCTTGTGTTCTTGTTGTACGCGTTTTCACAGTCGTGGTGTAAATGACGTGGAGGTCCTGACAGCCATTTTGTATGGCTCACAGTCATGTCAAACCTTGCCAAAGCAATGCCCATACGGAGTGTTGTTGAGGATGCATGGCTTGTGGTTGTTGAGGCAAACCTGGAGCTCGTTGTAGACCAGCTTTCATAGCACCTGCACAAACATAGCAGAGAACAGTGATCTGGAACCCCTTTTAACCAAACATGCAATAAAGTCTGCTGGAAGGAAATGCCCACGGAAGGGATCGGGAGGGAAAGAAGAGACACTGGGGTTGTTCTGCAGGCTTGCAGTCAGTTTGGGACAAATCCCCCAACATTTTACATGCCTGTGGTTATGAATTTACATCTTGCTGAAGGCTGAGATACAATTTCAAGCCTTTGCGATTGCCTGTGACTTCCAGCTGATGCTAGCTGATGTGCTATTTCTGCGTGGCAGTGAGCAACAGGAGCTGTGAGAGCTGCCCATCGATCTCAGCCAGCAAGCTGTGCTTTTGCAGCTGTGAAGTTTGATGCTCTTCCAAGATCCCCCAGCACTCAGTGACTTACGCTTCAGACTGCCCACGAGCACAGCACACTGTGCTATTTAGGGAGCCTCATTCACTGGTATCTCTCCGACCTTCTCTGCAAGAAAGGCAAATAACCTCCTACTTGCTGCCAGCAGTGTTCCTTGGAGCTATGTGGGAGGCTCAGAGATGGACTCTAGCTTCCTGCCAAGGAATGGGAGCATCAAAGTGATTTCCTGATGAATTAGACAGATTCCTGCAAAATGCCAAATATGCCCACAGGCTGCTTTGATGCCTTGTATGAATCCAGCCTTGTACGAATCTGTGACTTTTTGCCCTGCTTAATATAAACAAAGAGGTTGGAGTTGGAGTTCAGGCCAGCTGCCAGCTTGCCCCACTGCCAGCCTTGCTGCTTGCTCTCTATTACACTGCTTTTCATAGTGCTTGCACCTGTAGGGAAGAAGCAGTAATTGCTTTAATCTAAGGAAGGGACAAACCAAGGTGAGGTGGGAGTGGAGAAGGAGAAAAGGTTGTAGATAAACCTGCACGGCAAATGACTTCCTGGGGGGAGGCAGACATAGCACCTGGTGGAGCAGGTTGACTGGGGCAGAAATTCCAGTTGTGGTTCATCTTCTGGTTCCTACAAACTGTTTCTGGTCACCTGCTTTGTCACCTGTGGAGAGAAGGCTGACGGCATAGGTAAAAGGAATGCACTTCACATAAGGTAATGCAGAATGGATGGAGAGTTGTCAGCTGGTGCACAGAAACCTGCAAGTTCACATATGAGGAAATTGCTTTGGTTTGAAGGAGGTTTTGAGAGGAAGCAAAAGCAGTTACTTAAGAAAATGTCAAGTGCAAGAAGATGAGTGAAGCTGATAGGAACAAAATGAATGAAGCAAAGGAGAAACTACAAATTAGTTGATCACAGGAGTACAGGGATGGCTCAGTGCATCTTGTACAGCGAGTGGAAGGTACACGGACAAAGTGAATCATTCCTAAGTGAAAACAGTAATGGTTTAACCACGCTGTGAAAAACGAAGGGCATAAAGAGGTAACATCCTAAAGCTATCATATATGTGGAATGCAGATTTTTTTTTCTGTCAGAAAACGTTGAGGCGTTTCACACCTTCATTTGCCAGTAATGCTCTTGTGCTGTGGAACAGTGTATTTGTTTGCTTATAGGTGGTGTTTACCTTTGGTTCAGCTCTAGAACCAAGCACATACTCCTAGCCTGTGGATGTGTAGCAACATTCACAAAGTATTGAGTAGGTATTTGTTTTAAGTGGAAAAAAAGTAAAAAGGAAAAATTCAAATGCTGTATCTTCCAGAATCTTGGAAAGAAGACTCGCATGGATGAATCTGCATATTTTGCATACAAAAGTTGAAAAGGAAACAGATAATAAGCTTTATGATTTGCTAACATTGGTTTTAAATCCATCATGTACAATTTTGGAAGCTCTAGAGGAATAGGAAAGAAGCTGCTATTCATCAAGGAAGATAAAGAGACTGATCAGGGTTATTAGGGATATCTCTCTAACCAAAGAAGAGAGAAACTCATGCAAAACTTCATTATTCTCAAGTAATAATTATGAACAGTGCAAATTTAAATGCAAATTCATATGAATATGATCTTATCAAACTTACCTATTTTTCATAATAATTATAAGTGCAGTTAATAAAGACCATGACACAAAACCAAGAGGCAGTAAATATTAAAAATGGAGGCATGAAATTTGTAAATGGGATCCAAAGTGAACGCTTCTGTTCCCATATGGCCAAATCTGAGATCTCAGATCTAGAAACAAACACGTCCTTATTGCATGTGGAGGCTGACAGACGACTCTGGGGGTCAGCACAATAGGCTCATCTGCAATCTTTTCAGATTAGCATCAACTCTTAATGTATTATTGTAAGAATAAAGTAGTTTTCTTAATTCTTTGTTTTTTTAATGACAACTGTTGGAATACTGTGCCAAAATTGGTATCTCTAGCTGAAGAAAGATGTAAAATTCGATGGAGTTCTCTCTGATGTCCTGAGAATGCGTTAGGTAGAAAATATGTATAATGATAATAAACAAATTGATGGGAGGCAACTCTGTTCAATTCATCAGATGGGTCAGGAAAAGCCACATTTGCAATTGGGCTAGAGAAAATGGCCTACAGTTGCACCAGGGGAGGTTCAGGTTGGGTGTTAGGAAACATTTCTCCTCCGAAACAAGGAAGAGGTGGAGTCACCGTCCCAGGAGGCGTTCAAGAGATGTTTAGGGATGTGGTTTAGTGCGGAAGTATCGGTGGTAGGTGGATGGTAGGATTGAATTGTTGGAAGTCTTTTCCAACCTTAGTGGTTCTGTGTTTCGGTGATGTAATCCAGAAGGTTTAAGCACCTTTAGAACTTCTTTCTTTCTCTTGAGACTTAACCGTATCTTTCTGCAAGTTTATGTTACAGGTGAGCCGTGGATAAAAAAAGACTGAAGTCTTGTAGGTTGAGCTTAAAAAAGCAAAATAGATTTCCCAGAGTTTCCCATCTGGTTTTAAAATCTATATTCACTTTACAAAGCATATCAATTGGCACACAAACAGAATGTACACACTTTTCCACCCAGCGGTGATTCAGTTTCTGAGATTAAGTCTTTCTGTAGTTGAAAGGAGCTGCCCGTCGGAGCACAGGAGGTTGTCAGACCAGTTGTTTTCTGGCTCCAGCTGTCTCTGGAGGCACGACCCACAAGAAAACTTCAGCTGCTTTTCTTTTCTTTCTGATGGTCTCGGTGTTCACACGATCGCTTTGATTGGACTGCGACAACCTGAAAGCCCTTTATTTAGCTAGCAGCACATGCTCTGTAAATAATTGGTATCATGTCCTTGGGTACATTTTTGGCCTTATTTTTTGTCTATGCTTTCCAGCAAATGAAAAGATTGAAGACATCAATGGCTGCCCAAAAAACAGATCTCAAATGGTAAGTGTAACGTGGCGTGTTGTTGGCATGGATGTGGCATGTTTGTGTGATTTCAGTATCTGAGATTTTAATACCTGTGTTAGCTGTTTTTCACAGTACTGAGAGCTCAGGTATAATCTGAAGAACAGAAACACTGCAGGTCTTTCTCCATTGCACTCCATAGAAATTAAATTGGGCCTTATCATTTATCACATTTATTGCTATTTTATTTTATATTTTTGAAATGCCAAATAGTTAGAGGAAGGTAGAAAACAAAAATGTTGTTCTTCTGTATAGACAGGAGTATTTTAAAAGCAGAAATAAAGATTTATTTTAAACTCTGCTATGTTCCTATGTCCTTTGGAAATGAATAGAGTAAATTAGCAGAATGTACTAAAAGAAACAAAGATTCCAGTTGCAAAATATGGGAATTGTTTATGTAACTTGTTTCTGATCAAAATGTTTTAGTTTGTAAAAGGAGTAGTTTTGTCTCTTGCTTGTACTTAATACTTAAAAGCAAAGAACCAGAGGTTAGTACAAAAAAGGTAAAAGCAGATGGTACCTCAAGAGCATATCTGCTGTGAATACTGGTGAAGCTACACTTATAGGCAGAACTTTGGTGAGAAAGAAAGTAGTAAGAAACTGATTCTTAAAATGTGTCTTGGGAGACGAGGGCTTAAAATTTGTTGTTTTAAAGAAGGTTATTTCCTTCTATATCTCAAGGAAAAAACTCGTTTTACAGTTCATATTCTAAAAAATCCCCCTTTTGCATTGCAATTCTCACTTTGGGTTTCTTGAGTCTTATTTTTGCATGTGAAGCTATTTTTTATGGCCTCTTTCCCGACTGTCCCCACCTCCCAGCCCAAGCAAAATACGTTAAAGGTTTGGTGGGAGCTTGTCATCTGAAGACAGGAACAACACTGTGTTCTATGGGCTTTTTTTTTTTCTTGTAAGTTATCAGTCTTGCTCAAATCCACATAGCCAGCACTCCTTAAGAAGAAAGTCATCTGAAGGATTTATCACTGCTGCTTTTACTGCTATGAAGAGATTGGTTGCTATTCTTGCTGTAGCCACAGCAGCTGTCTGCAGTACAAATAATTGAGAAAATTTTCACAATTACTATCATTTAATGTTCCACAAATGCATCATAAGAACTGAATTTCATTGAGGATGGGAGCTTATCTCAAATTCCTTAATACTGTAGCCAAAGTTGCTTCAGGTCCTTACTCTCTATGAAGGCACAATGTTTGGCTTTATCTCCTGTTGCTTCCAAAGGTCAGCTCTGGCCATAGAGGCATGCAGAGGGCGCATGCTGTGTCAGGAGTAAGGAAGTTTTCTCTGCTCTTCCTCCTCCAAGGCTCTGGTTTTATTCTGGTCCCTTATTCAGGAGGAGAGTAGGGCTGCCCCTTCTGTGGCACCCTGCTCGTGTTGCCAAGCGTGTTGGTTGTAGCAAGGCATCCTGGGTGGCTTGTGTCACAAGAGAACATGCTCGTGGCTTGCTTTGATAGGAGTGTGCATGTTGGCCATGCACACTTAAAATAAAGAATAAAGCAGAAGGGTTGGAAGTGGATAATGTTTAAGGCCTCTTCCAATCAAAACCCTTCTAGGGTTCCATTCTACTATTCTGAGAACACAAGTATTTTCATGGAGGTTGTCCTTAATGCAGTTGCTTGCAATGTATAAGGAGACAATTCTTTCCCAGGTCTTGCATTCTAGGGAAAATGAATGTGTTGCTTATTTATTAGATATGGCAATCTTCATCCTTTTCATTTATATATAGTTACCTCTTACTATAGCTCACCTGCCTGAGCAGCCAGCCCTCGGTGTGCGAGCTGTGTTTGTGTCTGGAACTTCTTATATACAGGACAGAGCTGTCTCATGTCCAATACTCAGTTGGGCCGAGTGATGTTTAGTCTTACTCTTTCAAATAAAACCTTCTCAAAATCTTTCCCATGTTGTAATGTCTGTAAGCTAGACATCACATATGAGTAGATGAAATAAAGAGGTAAATAAATAAAGGCACTGTAAATGAAGCTTTGCTGGTGGGCTCACCAGGGCTTGCAAGCTGAGCACTGAAGATGCATCTGCTTGGAAAGCTGAAGTGACTCTGTGTCTCGCCAGCCCACTAGGACCATGTGAAACTGGGTGGATTTGCTTCCATGTGGAGTGGTCCTAAGCCAGCAAAGCTTGCCAAACCTTAGAGAGCTGAACACTGAGCCAGAGTAGGTCTCTTTCCATTGCTGTTTCCATCTCTACAGAATGTTGGGCAAATCATCATGTGGATTTGCCCAAACTGAACACTTGTCAAATTAAGTTTGGTGTAGAACCATTTGGGACCATCAATACCTGTCAGCCTAGTCTCGGTGCCAGGTATGACATGATAAGGATAGCTGTGTGAGAACCCAGACCCTATTCTCATCTCCTTTGGGTTTTTCTGTGGTTGGAAGTATCTCTATCCCCTTTGTCTCCATATAAGAATCAGCTTTAAAAAAAAAATATGTATATATATATATATATATGACCTCTTACAGGCAATTTTACGTATTTCCTCTACATAAGAACTGTTTTCTCTCAAAGCTTCATATTTTTGTACTGTAGATGCTTTTCTAAACAAAAGCTTGTAACTGTGATGATTGGTTCCATCTGGCATGCAGAAACTCTGTGGTTAATAGAGGATGTAGTAGTACAAAGTGTAGGTTCTCAGGCCAGGAAAATATGGAGATGATCAGCACAATTGTTTTCTGGTTTTTGGAATGAAGTATAAGAAAACATTGGCATGGTTCTTGAGAACTGGGCGAAGGAGAGTAAAACAAAGCTGGTTTCCTCTCCTACCCACTTCTGATAAAAGGCTGAGATTGATAAGTACAAGTGGGGCTTTCTCTCTGCTGATGTGTGGTTACAGAAGAACAGGGATGTTTTTCTTTCTAACAATTTATTTTGCCTCTTGTTTTGGAATGATATTTGAGCACAGCATTTGACATCCTGCAGAACTGGGACAATATACAAGGTTCTGCATTTTGATGCATCCTTTTTGAATAGCACTGAAATAAAGGAGAGGGAGAGAGAGAGGTAGTTGTGTTATCTGGTAAATACAATAGATGAATTGTAACATACAGAGTAAGAGTGCAGATGAGATGCTATCAGAAGAAAGGAAAGGAGGAGACATTTTGAATGATGGGAGATCTGGGACGAACAAGGTGAAGGAAAAAGATTTGCATCAGCCACAAAAGAAGTGACTGGGGAGGGAGCTGAGTAAAGAAAGTTAAATATCAAAACATGGACTTGGAGACAAAGCAGAGAGGAGATGCTTGGAAGTGAAGCAGTGCGTTGGCAGACACAGGCGACAGCTGACACTTAGCCAAGGATGGGGCTGGAAGGACAGATAAAGCAAGTAGCAGCCATTTGTCATATAGGAGGGGTGCAGGGTGTGTTTTCCATCTCGCATGCAAAACTGAGAAACACTGAATGTGACAGTAGAAAGAGATATAGCAGTACATATTTAAGAAAAAATGTTGGAGAAAAGACTGATGAGGGAAAAAAGTTGATTTTTCAAGGATCAATGTCATTTTGTTTTGTAAAAGATTTTTTTATCGCTTTAGATAAAATGTTAGGTGTGAAAGTTGGTGGAGTGATAGCATGTTACCCTTGCTGCCGAAGGAGTGGAGCAGTGGCAAAGCTGTCAGTGCCAGAGGGAGAGGAGCAGGAGGATGTGTAGGTGGGGGAAGGAGGCCCTCATCTGTTCGTGCCAAGCCTGGGGAAGTTGTGGGATGCCCAAGGCAAGAGTTTGAAGAAAGTAGTATGCATATAGGCTAAACCAACCCCACACTTTCCCCTCATAAACAGGGTCGGAAGTAACTGTGGTTTCCGTGTTGGTTTGTGGTTAGGTTTTGTTCTTTCTAAGAGTGATCACTTTGTGTTTATACAAGAATGTATGTTATCAAGTAACAAAGAGGAAAGGTTTCTTTTGATGTGTGTGTCTTGACCAGAGGTTTTTTCGGGAGCCGTTCCTTTCTGATGCAGGCGTCAAGCTGTACTGATAAAACAACGCTGCTCCGTTTTTCTGCTTGCAAACATGAAGTCTTTTCTGCAAGGACAAGGACTTTGTCAAGACAAAAAGTGCTTGTTTTCAGTTTGTTCACTTTGTAAGGAAACTGCTGTTTTAGTATTTGACTTATTACTTATATTCTGAAAATGAGATGTTCTGGACACACAAAGCCAAAGAATAGGAGCTGGTCAGCCTGGAGGAGCCCCTGCTTTTAAAGTGAGCAGTGCAGGAAGTTCTAGTTCATTTGCTAAAACTAATGTGTTCACATCTCTCCTCAGCATGCCCCCCAGTCTGGGCTGAGGATCTGTGGGAAGGATCAGAAGCATCACAAGCATTTCTTCCCCCTGCAAATTCCTGCTCTGAGATTTTTGGACAGGCATTGCAGTGGTTAAATATAGCTGTATATTTTCAAGTAAGACTTGTCCAGCGTTGACCTGAGAAATGCAATAGGGGGAATTTCAGTGCCTGCTGCTCGGTCTTCCCTAGCTTTAATGGGTGAGCTTTGCCTTATGGTCAGCATGTGTTTACAAGCTGAATGTTGCTGTAGTGACAAATGGGTATCTCCAGGCCCTGACCCTCATGGTGCTTGGAAGGGCTGCGGTCAGCTGGAGCAGACATCAGCCTCACTCCATGGGCTGCTGTAGGAGATATGTGGCCAAGTGTGCCTGGAATGTTTAGCTCTCAGAGCATTTGCTCTCACCTTCCTGGGTTTCTTCTAATTGTATATGAATTTAAAATACAATTTTTTCCTCTGTAGGGGAGGCATTTGTTCCCTCTTTGGAACTTCATGTTGTGCTCTTTCCTTCTTTTTTCTTTTTCTTTTTTTAACTGTTGTGTTATCGTGCTTACCGTCTGTGTATTGCTATCAGTGAGACATGCATGTAGGGTCACAAGGGTTTTAGCCCATCCCAGGAGAGGAAGAAGAAAAATATCTTTGCAAGTCTGAGGATACGCAGAAATACAATTTCTGGTATTC